TTTTACAACACAATATATTCTCGCGCCAAAACTTTCGGAGAAGTTATAAAAAGTGCTGAACTTGGTGAAATATGCAAATGTACGACTATAGTGTGTAGACTCCTTAATGACACTCAAACTTACAAGGTGAGTTCATTTATTTCTTCATTTATTTTGTAGTTGCACTATAAATATCTAAAAAAGGACAATCCGATGCACTAAGCTTCCGCTATGCACGGGGTCGGGAGAAGGGCCAGGCCACAAGGGTCTATTGTAAGCAGTGTTACCCTGCATTTCTACAAGAGAGTGTTTTCACGACTCGAACTCGTGACATTCTGGTCTAAATGGCAGCAACTTTACCGGTTACGCTATAAATATCTATTTAACAATATCTTTTGGTTGCAGAAAGAAAAAGAAGAGAGGTCAAGTAACATAGTCAACATACTCGTAACACAAAGTGAAGGAACGGTTTCGGAAGAAGAGGCAGTAGAAGAGGTAAAAGAAATGCTGGAGAAGAACAGAAGAAAATTGCTGAGAATGGTGCTTCATAAGAAAGAAAGCAGTCAGTTGCCGCAAGTATGCAAAGATCTGTTTTGGAACACGAGCAAAGTAGCTCATATTCTATACTCAAACGGCAATGAGTTTCGCTCTCCAGAGGGACTCAAGAGTAATATAAACACATTATTTTACAAACCAGTCGACCTATCCCCAACACAAGCCTAGAGTCTCGCCAAATAGCCAGTGCTGAAACCCCAAGCAGATTTTAATGAGTTTTGTTGTTCTTAAACTGAATGTTAGCTTATCCTGATGCTATATATCTCTATGACCAATTGTGTTCATTGATCACAGAGCATTTGGAAAATTTCCTTTTGTCTTCTATACTTCAACTTATTGTTAGTTATGTTGTAAAATGTAGTGAGACCTTCAGTTAGATTGTTGAAATAATTAGAGTTATATTTGGAATGTTTTCAAAGTTTGATTTGCCATTTGTTAGTCAACACCTAAATCTTGTCACCACATGATTGACATTATATAAAGTAGTTGGATGTGCGAACAAAGTCTAATATTGATAGTTGAAAAGATTGGAAGACTATATATATATATATAAAAGGTATAGGGATCTCTTCCTTAAAATATTTCTTCTTTTAAGTTTTGTCAACTCTTCACTACTCCCTCCGGTCCAAAATAAGTGATTTTTTTGGCCTTTTTCCTGTAGTCCAAAATAAGTGATTTTTCCAGATTTTAAGAATGAATTAATTATTTTTTTCCTACATTGCCCTTGGAGTAAATAGTGTTGGAATATGTGTTAGGAGGATTTATGTGAGATAGTAAAGGTTAATATGGTCAATTCAATTGCTAATTAATGCTAAAAGGTGAATTTCTTAATCTGTGTGAAAACATCCAAAAAATCACTTATTTTGGACCGGAGGGAGTAGTATTCTGACGAGTCCAGAGCGACACATTCATAACCAATTAATCTTTTGGGGAATCAACTATTGTTGAGTTAATAAGCACATGAGGGGTCTATTTAGAGGTGCCCACGAGATTGAGCAATTTATGCTATATACCTACCTACTATAAAATAATTACCCGTTTCTACCTATTCTCAAACTAGTTACATTATATACCTATCCGACCAAAAGTATTTACCCGCATACTTCATCTACTACAACTACCCTGCACTTATCCTCATCTTTTTCTTCTCCCTTTCTCTTTTTTTCCTTTCTTGCTGAAGCTTATATTTGGTTCCAAACATTAATGTCCCCCTTGTTCTTTTATAAAAAAATTTCAAAGTAGGCTTTCTCTGTACTTAGTAGCTATGCTGATTTTTTATTTTAATTTATCGGTGATAATTAAAAAAAAATCAAATGCAACTAACAAAAGGAATGTAGAACTCTAACAATTTAGTAATTGAGTATTAAATGACTAATATTAAAAGTAATTAGCAAATTTTTCAAAACCGAAACAATTAGTACCTGCAATGAAGGAGAACTTGAACGTTTAGTGTTACAAATAATTATTTCTAATATCTTTTGAGAAGTTCATAGTGATTTATTGTAAGAAAAATTAGATCAACCATTGAAAGACCTTGAAACTTGAAAATCATAAATTGCATTTGTCGAGTTTGTAATTGTTTGATTAGATTTTGACTGGCGTGATTAAAATATCGATTGGCAACTGTAACTAAATGTTGAGTCAGTTTGGTCGAGACTTGGAGCTGATTTGAGGTGATTGAGATCGAAATTTTCAGTTGAAAATCGAAGAAGAACACAACTACAGTAATAATCGAAGAAGAACACTATTACCTAACAGTATACTGCTACAGTATACTAATATACTATAGGAGTATATAGTTATACTACAACAGTATACCATTATAGTATACAAATATATTGTTATGGTATACTGTAATAATATGCAAGATATTGTAACAATATGCTGTAATAGTATACAATATACTACAATAGTATACTTATTACCCATAAATTCACTTGCCTTTTCCCTTTTAATTTGTTTTAAGCTTTTACCTAGCGTGAACGGCAAATTGAAAATGCAAAAAAAAAAAAAATTATAGTATGCTATATAATGTAACGGTATACTCTTACAATTAGATCCTTTTAGATTTTTTTAAAATTTTTATTGACAACTGATATTATTTCAGTTTAATAATTGAATTAAACTTTTTTAACTCTTTGCGTACAATTGTATACCCTGTTGGTATAACTATATACTATACTGGTATCAAATGTTAGTTAATATTTTTTGATTGTATTAGCTACATTTAATTGGTACACAATTTGATTTTTCTTTAGTAATAATATAAAAAAGAGAATAATAAAAAATAGTGAAAATAGTAAATGAAATCAGATTATGAAGAGAAAAAGAATATAAAGAAAAGAAATTAAATGAAATTAGAATAGGAAAAAAGAAAAAAAATAAGAAGAAAACAAGAAAAAAGAAAAGGAGAAAAGCAAAAGAAAAGAAAAGAAGCATAGAAATAAAAAAGAATTGGAGAATAAAGAGAAAATTTCCCACAAAACCTACTATGGGTAGGAAATGTAATTAGTTTATGGGTAGAAAAGCAAATGGGTAGACAAGGGTAAATAGTTTTGTTTTTGTGGATAACTGTGTCAAAACCCCCCATTCTCCCAATGAACATGGTCAAATAACAGATGTGCACATGTTTCCTTGTTTCTTCGAAAAGAAATTACATAATAAAACTTAGAAGTTGTATACAGTCGAAGTCGAGCTCGACTACAACTTGGTAGATTTGGCTTAGAACGTGGCGACCACGGACTGGAGATTGACCTCGAGTCTCACCGAGTTAGAACCTAAGATTGGAAGACCTGCCTTCGATGAACATTGAGTCCGATATCGACCTTAGCCTCGAGCGAGCTCGGAAATAACAAACGGAAGACCGAAATATCCGTGACCAGGCGGATATTACGGCAGGAATCTCGGCGCATATCGTCAAGGAACCGGCAATTAACAAATCAAGAGATATTTACCTTTTATAGAAATGTACCTAGAGTAGGACTCCTCTACTATATAAAAGGGGATCTGATAATTTATGGGACACATTTTAATATGCATCACAAAGAATATACTATTAATACTAGTTCTTATTATCGCATCATTCTGTTCCGGTATCGATTAAGGCATTTTTGACTCGAGGGTGACCAACCTTCAAGGCCAAGATTGTTCAACTTGTGTGGTTTGCATTTACTTTTCTATCATTAATTTCAATAATAATCTGATTTCTCAATTTGTATCAAGTTAAATCACGTATCCTTAAAACCGCATACAAATTTAATTGTTATCCGATTTTGAGGGTAAACACAAGTAATCATCATAGAAAAAATAGTAGAGACTCAGGCTAATAACGTGCTATAAGATATAAAGCAAATGAAGAGAGTGAATATATAGAGAAAGACAAAGTAATGTATTATTATTTTTTTCAAATTGAAACAAATCATTACTCTCTATTTACGGAAGAAAGCAAGTTGCGTGTAATAAGCTGATTACAATCCTTTCTAATTGCTCGCAATCTATTTGCATGAGCTACTTACAACCTACTTGTTTCATTGTAAACCTCTTCAGAAAGCTTAGTTTACTTAAGCTTCTTAAAAAAATTAAAATGGACACACAATTTAATGTAGTCATAACAGCCCTTTTTATTTTTATCTCTTAAAATTCTAAATAAAAATCTTCACACCACGTGAAATCTGAAGATTCGATCGGTTAGGAACGAGAAATATTAAATTTGCGTAAGCGAGGCTCACCATTACAAATTTATAAATCTTCAACTCCCTATACTTTCTTCAATATATTTGGCCATACACCAAACAAAATTTTAAATTAGTCCCCTTCCCTTTGCTCCGCTCGGTGCTATCTGATTGTCCCCTAATATGAATTATTTTACACTATCAGGTAAAAGTTCCCAGGGACCCGGAGCCGCTACTCTTTGGGTGCACTAAGTAACCTGCTTACTGTACAATAGCTCGCAAACTACACCGGAGATGTAAACCGCACTAGGCAAGCTTCAAAATACAACATATCATCTTTTTTATGAAGTGTTTATCTTTTGAATGACATGATAACGTAAAAATCTTTGTGCTATCAGTGGGCATATGTAAGTTAAATAAGTTATACTGTATGACCATATAACAGTGGAGCGAGGAAATCAGAAAGAAGGCGTCTCAAAAACCTGGCAAGCTAAGCAGACTTGGAGCCCGTTTGGCTTAGCTGATTTAGAGTAGCTGATAAGCATTAGCTGCTAAAAAGCACTTTTAAGTGTTGAAACTGATTTAAAAAATAAGCAGTTACGTGTTTGGATAAAAGTGCTGAAATTAATAATAAGCAGCTGAAAACTGGGTATACGAAGAGTTTTGTTCTAAAAAGAAGTATTTTAGGGATAGAATAGTAAATATTTTGGTCAAACCTAAAGTGCTTATAAGCTGAAATTTGATAAGTTGGGGGAGACCAACTTATGGCTTTTAGCTTATTTTTGGCTTATAAGCACTTAACTTATAAGCACTTTTAATTTTACCAAACGCGTAGATAAGCCAAAAAGTATTTATAAGCCAGTTTGACCGGCTTATAAGCTTAGCCAAACACCCTCTTGGTCTTTCTGAACCTCTCAATCTTTTTTCAAATTCCCATGGAAATCCAGACATCTTTCTTCGTTTCCATTTTCCTTGTATTGTTATCCTTATGTTTCATAACAATCGAAGGGTACAACAAATATGCAAACAGTAAGCAGAAATTGCCACCAGGGCCGAGGAAGCTCCCACTGATAGGGAACTTGCATCAACTGCTCTGCCTCGGATCATCAGAGTTCCAACCACATGTTGCTCTGAGTAAATTAGCAGCTAAATACGGGCCTTTGATGCACCTAAAGCTCGGTCAACGTTTGGTTCTTGTCGTTTCGTCTGCTGAAGTTTCCAAACAATTTTTCAAAACACATGATCTCACTTTCTCTAACCGGCCAGAGCTTTTCGTTGGGAAGATAATGATGTACGGTTTTTCTGATATGGCATTCGCTCCATATGGTGACTTCTGGAGACAGATGCGAAAAATTTGTAACTCGGAACTCCTTGGTCTGAAGAGGATCCACTCGTTTTTTCCCATGATGTTTGACGAGGTGCGTGATCTTGTTAAGTCAATTGCAGCTGCAGAAGTAGGGAAACCCATTGACTTGAATGAAAGACTGAGTCTGTTGCAATTTGCTATCACTTGTAAAGCTGCTGTTGGTAGGACGGCATGTACAGATCAGGAGTCATTTTTAATGGTAATGAAAGAATTCGTAAGCTTAGCGGGAATATTCAGCGCAGCCGATCTATATCCTTCCTGGAAAATAGTTCAATTAATTAGTGGCCTAAAGCGAAAATTAACGAAAATGCATCATAAGGCTGATCATATTGTTGAACAAATTATACGTGAACATGAATTGAAGAGATCAGGAAGTACTGATGGTGATGGCAAGCAAATAGAGGAAGATATCGTGGATGTACTTCTGAAACTAAAGGAGAGCAAAGATTTTCCGATTCCTATCACTAGAAATGTTATCAAAGCTACAGTCTTGGTAAGTAGCCGGTCTCTTCTTGTTTTAATTTCTCCCATTTTTTGTTTTACCACTCATTAATTCTTCTCCTTTAATCGCAAGTCTATTGGACTGAAATAGCTTATATGCGTCAAGTTTGTACTACAATTTAATTTGTTAGATTTAGCTGAGAGCCGTTGATTGCTTAAGTAGGAGGGCGTTAAAGAGAAGAGAAATAATAACCTTAGAACCTTGAGTTCATGTGTTTTATATATATTTTTCCGTTTGTGGATATCGAATCTATAACCATTGGTTTATCATTGACGGAGTTGTGGGTTCGTCGGACTCTGACTTCCTGCAATTTTGTGAGTATATAGGTTTGGGCTCGGCGAACTATTTTTACTTTATATTTCATTGTTAGGGAGAAATTTAAAAATAACCAGATTTACAATTGGTCGTTCAAAAATAGCCCAATTTCAAAAGTAATCGAAATGTAGCCATTTTTTATGTAAAGATAAATTTGAGCAAAAATACTATTCAAAACCCGAAAAATACTCCAGTATATTATGCTGGAGTTCCAGCATAAGTATACTTGAACTCTAGCATATTATACTGGAGTTCCAGGATAGTATGCTGGAACTCCAGCATAATATGATGGAGTTCCAGCATAAATACACTAGAACTCCAGCATAATATACTGGAGTTCCAGCAAGTATATTAATATACTGGAGTTTGGAGCACCAGTGCTCCAGTCTCCAGTATATTATACTGGAGCCAGCAAAGTATACTGGTCCAGCATAATATGCTGGAGTTCATACACAAGTGCACCGAACTCCAGTATATTATGCTGGACCGGTCTCTATTGCAACAAAACGGTGGTTATTTTTCATTGACTTGGTAAACGCTGAATTTTTGATTGACCAGTCCGAAAATTGGCTATACCGTGCTATTTTTACTTCATTGTTATTATTATTGTCCATTCTATATGATACTTTCTTTTAAATAATTTTCAAATTTTTTTTATATATTTCACTATTTTGAGACCATTTACAATTAGCATTCCAATTTTACCCGACTTGTTTGGACCCACTTTATTAAAAATTTGCTCCTATCTTTTACTAGAAGACAGAAAATGAAAAGACATGTGGAACCTTTACCACCACACACATAAGAGAAATTTTGGTATATTTTGTTTATGTGTCAAAAATCTTGTTTTATTTCGTGAACTTCGTGTCCATTCATTACACTTACTGTTTCCTAATTCCTGGTGTCCTCCTTATTATAAATTTGATGAATGCACTGGCAGGAGTTGTTTGTAGCCGGAACTTCAACCTCAGCAACAGCCATGTTGTGGGCTTTTTCAGAACTGGTAAAGAATCCAAAAATGATGAAGAAAGCACAAGCTGAAGTGAGGGAAGTCTTCACAGAAAGGATCGATCAAAGTCACATTCAAAAGCTAACGTACTTGAGAATGGTAATCAAAGAAACTCTAAGACTTCATCCCCCGGGTCCTCTTTCATTCGCTAGAGAATCCAGGGAGGAGAGTGAGATCGACGGATATACAATACCAAATAAAACATTAGTGCTACTAAATCTATGGGCAGTTGGAAGAGATCCAAAACACTGGGAAAATCCGGAAACATTTGATCCGGATAGGTTTGATGGTAGTCCAATTGAAAGCGTACCAACTCATTTTGAGTACACGCCATTTGGTGCAGGAAGAAGAATATGCCCAGGAATATCCTTCGGAATGGCGAGTGTGGAGATTTCTCTTGCATTATTGCTCTATCATTTTGACTGGAAACTTCCCCATGGAATGAGTCCTCAAGAATTAGACATGACCGAAAAATTTAGTACCAGTCTTGAAAGAAAAACTAACTTGTGCTTGATTGCCTCCCCTTACGTTCCTTCCTGTAAAGGGGACTATGGTGAGGACTCATACTACTAGAACATATTTGGAATTACATTTAATCATGAATTAGTTTGTACATCTATTTTTCCTGTTTTAGTTATGCTCTCTCCTACATCATTCTGACTTTATCTTCCATGCATTGTTGAATGGGATTTGGAAAGAAAAGTTCCCCCATGTCTTCTATTTTTTACAGCTTCTTTACCCTAAATACGAAATACAACCCAACTATGTCAATCAATCTACTCGAGCATTACAAATTTTAATTCAAATGGAGTACCTATTTTGAGTTGCTAAAAAGTTAGTGTCATAATCTAGTTCTCCGATCCATGTTATTTTCTCAGGATCACCACGACAAAATATTGCACTTATGTTGTACAAATAATTTAGAATCTTGTTGGTGTTGTAAAATGTAAGTGTTCATTCCTAACGTGGTCAATCAAGTTTAGCAAGTTATGTTATTCTCTGAAATTGGTGTCTAAGTGTTATGTTGAGGAAGAGGCAAACCGGAAAATAAAGAAGATAAAGAACACCAAATTTTAACGTGGAAAACCCTTCAAATTGAAGGTAAAAATTACGGGATCACAAACATCCAAAAAGTTCCACTATAACAATAAGAGGGTTACAAAAGTTCTCCAAATTGGCTATACAATAAGGGCCAAACACGGAGCGACAATAGCAACAAGAGCAACAACTAATCAATTGAAGAAAGAGTATAATTCACAAAAACAAAGCTACTGTTCAAGGCTCGAAATCAGATGCTACGAGCCTCCAAATCCGATCTCCACCGTTCAAATCTAAGACGAAGATGTTACTAACACTCAGTCAAAATTTCAGCCCGATCTTGAAGTTGGCTGGTCGGAATAAAAATCTGCAGCAAAATAAATACTTTTCTTCTCTCTTCTCTCTTGATGAAAGCTCTCTCTAAACCACTCTTATGTGCTTAAGTCTTTCAAAGACTTGTATCAATGAGCATAGAATAATTCTTCAAGGTTGTCCTATTAATAGATCATGAGTGGTGCTTTCTCTTAAAGCCAAAACCCACTTAAAATAGGAATAAACACTGAATCCAATTCCGAATAGGAATGGAAACCAAAAGAGAATAGGATTAGGCCATTGGGCCTTTGGCTGGACAACATGGGCATGAGCCCAACAAACTCCCCCTCCATCCAAGGGGCCAAGTGTGTCTTCAAGTAGAGTAACTATTGACAGGCTTCATGCCTGCCAATTTTCTGCAAAATTCATGTTTATCTGCAACCACCGCCTTTGTCAGCATATCTGAAGGATTTTCATCAGAGTGTATCTTCTCAACCTCAAATAATTTCTCTTCCACGGCCATTCTTATCCAATGATACATTCTATTTATATGTTTGGTCTTAGAATGAAAAGTGGAGTGCTTGGTGAGACAGATAGCACTCTGATTATCACAAAATAAGATGTACCTTGGCTGCTCAAAGCCAAGATCATTAATAAACACCTTCATCCATAATAGTTCTTTGGCACCTTCTGTGAAAGCAATATATTCGGCTTTTGTGGTGGATAGAGCTATGCACTTCTGTAGTCTAGATTGCCAAGAAACAGCTCCCCCTGCAAAAGTGATCAAATAACCGGAAGTCGATCTTGAATTATCAAGATTACCTCCTAAATCAGAGTCTGTAAAACAAACAAGTTCAGGCTTGCCATTGCCAAAGCACAGCTTCAAATCTGCAGTACCTTTCAAATACCTTAATATCCATTTTACTGCATCCCAATGTTCTTTTCCAGGATTGGAAAGGAATCTACTAATAGTACCAATGGCATGTGCAATATCTGGTATAGTGCAAACCATAGCATACATCAAGCTACCAACGACAGAAGAGTAAGGAATACGAGACATCTCCTTTTTCTCTTCATCAATAGATGGACTCTAACTAATACTCAATTTGAAGTGTTTAGCAAGAGGTGTACTAACCACTTTTGCATCTGTCATATTGAACCTCTTGAGTACCTTCTGAATGTATTGCTTTTGGGACAGAAATAACTCCTTTCTGTCTCTATGTCGGTGGATTTGAATGCCCAAGATTTTCTTTGCTGGCCCCAAGTCCTTCATCGCAAACGATTTGCTCAACTGCTTCTTAAGGACTGCGATTCTGGATTTATTCTTGCCAGCAATAGGCATGTCATCCACATAAAGCTAAATAATAAAATCATCATCAGAGAACTTCTGGAAAAATACACAGTGGTCTGAAGAAGTTTTCCTGTATCCTTGTTCTTCTATGACAGATTCAAACTTCAAATACCATTGCCTTGGAGCTTGTTTCAATCCATACAGGCTCTTTTTCAATTTGCAGACATAATTTTCTTTTCCCTTAGTTACAAAACTCTCAGGTTGCTCCATATAAATCTCCTCATCTAAACCACCATGAAGAAAAGCAGTCTTGACATCCATCTGCTCAACCTCTAAATCTAGACTTGCGGCTAAGCCTAGAACCACACGAATAGAAGACATCTTCACAACAGGGGAGAAAATTTCATCAAAGTCAACTCCCTTCTTCTGGCCAAAACCTTTAACAACTAACCTCGCCTTGTATCTAGGCGCAGAGGTATGGTTATCTTGCTTTATTATGAATATCCATTTGTTAGATAAAGCTCTCTTACCTTTCAGCAATTTTACTAACTCATATGTGCCATTCTCATGGAGTGACTTCATCTCATCTTTCATCGCTTCGATCCAATGATCATTGTGATTATCTTGCATGGCTTCATCATAATTCTCAGGTTCTCCCATGGCAGTCAAAAGTACATACTCATCAGGAGGATAGCGCATGGATTTTTGCTTCTCCTTTGTAGATCTTCAAAGAGAGGTTTCAGGAGCATTCGAAGTAGTTACCTGTGCAGGAATTGGTTGCTGATCAACCACAACTTCATCAACTGGAGCATCCATAACATCTATACCATGATGATCATTTTGATCTTGGTCACTATCTCCATCATTGTCTTGGGTTCCTTCATGTGCAATAGGTGCCTTAGCAATTGAAACTGGATCAATATCAACTAAGATCTCATTACTCTGAGAATCTATCTTCTCAGCTTTGTCAATATCTTCAATAGTTTGGTCTTCAAAGAATATTGCATCACGACTTCTAATAAGTTTATTGTCAACTGGATCATAAAAACGATACCCAGACTCATCTTGACCATAACCGATAAAGATGCACTGCTTAGTTTTGACATCCAGTTTCGATCTCTCATCTTTAGGAATATGCACACAAGCTTTACACCCAAAAACTCTCAGGTGATCATAAGAAACATCTTTGGCAAACCAAACTCTGTCTGGGACATGACCATCCAAAGCAACAGCAGGAGACAAATTGATAACATAGGCAACGGTGTTAAGTGCTTCCGCCCAAAATGTATTTGGAAGTTTAGCCTCTGAAGTAAGCATCTAACTCTCTCAACTAGAGTTCTATTCATCCTCTCTGCCAAACCGTTCAATTGAGGCGTCTTGGGCGGAGTGTTCTGATGATGAATTCCTTGTTCCTTGCAATAGTTATCAAAGGGACCACAATATTCACCACCATTGTCAGTGCGAATACATTTTAATTTCTTCCCCGTCTGTCTCTCAGCTAAGGCCTGAAATTCCTTAAACACACCAAGTGCTTGATCTTTAGATTTCAAAGGATACACCCAGAGCTTACGAGAATGATCATCAATGAAGGTCACAAAGTAAAGTGCACCATCTTTTGACTTTACTTTAAAAGGACCACACAAATCAGAGTGTACTAGCTCCAATAAATCGGACTTTCTTGAGGGAGGATGACTATGAAAGGAAACCCTTTTCTGTTTGCCAGCTAAACAATGGATACACCTTTTTCAGCTTTGCTTGTTTCAATCTAGAAAGAAAACTTTTCTTAGCCAGACACGTAATCCCCCTATCGCTCATATGGCTCAATCTTCTATGCCACAATTCTGATAAAGTATCACCTTCCACCATATTTATTGAGTCATTAAGAATAGAGCCCTGTGTCACATATAAATAACCAGACTTGACTCCGTGAGTCACTACTAACGAGCCCTTAGTGAGCTTCCATTGGCCGTTAAAGAGGGCATTATGGTAACCTTCATCGTCTAATCTTCCTGCGGAGAATCTACTATCCAGCTAGTCTCATGAGATACCAAATTGATGACGTTTTCATCATAAGAAAAAAGAAGGTCATCTCGAACAATAGCAGCAACATTGTTCTCGTTATTTTCAACTTTCTTTCCTTCTCTAGTGTCTTGATTCAACTTGCGGCAAAACCTTTTGATGTGTCCTTTCTTGCCACAGTGGTTGCATGTAATATTATAATATTTGGACCTTGACTTACTTCTACTTTTACCTCTATTCCTAGAGCTTCTTGTTCTATCTCTCCCCCGGTCTTCTGTAACCAAGATATCTGCTTGTGAGGACGAACCCTGAGATTTTCTCCTTAGTTCCTCGTTCAACACACCACTCTTGGCATATTCCATGGTCACCTTACCTCCAGGAGCTGAATTTGTCAAAGAAACACGAAGAGTTACCCAAGAGTCCGGCAGAGTATTAAGAAGCCAAAGTCCTTGTATCTCATCATCAAAATTAACTCCTATTCCAGATAGCTGATCAAGGACGCCCTACAAATCATTTATGTGATCAAGGATAGGGCTGCATTCCTTGTATTTAAAGGTCATCAATTGCTTTAGCAGAAATAATTTGTTGTTCCCGGTTTTTGGAGCATAAAGAGTCTCTAGCTTTTCCCACAATGATCTCGCATGTATCTCGTTCACAATATGGTTGCGAACATTATCTTCAACCCATTTCCGTATATATCCACATACTTGTTGGTGCTCGAAATCCCAATCTTCATCGGATATACTCTCGGATTTATGATCTGAAAAAACGGGTAGATGCATCTTCTTCACGAACAACAAGTCTTTCATCTTGCTTCTCCAAACATTATAATTTCTCCCATTTAAACATGCCATCTTGCTCATATTCGCCTCCATTCCGTAACAACCCGGATAAATAACCAAGGCTCTGATATCACTGTTATGTTGAGGAAGAGGCAAATCCGAAAATAAAGAAGATAAAGAACACTAAATTTTAACGTGGAAAACCCTTCAAAAAGAAGGTAAAAACCACGGGATCACAAAGATCCAAAAATCTCCACTATAACAATAAGAGGGTTACAAAATTTCTCCAAATTGGCTACACAACAAGGGCCAAACACGGAGCAACAATAGCAA